GGGGCGTGGTGGGCCTGAATACCTGCTGCTGCTGCTGCGAGGGCGGAGGAGGGATGGGGAGAAAGGTCGACGGGGAGGAGGCGGTGCCGAAGGGGGAGACTGGCGTGACGGGCCTCGTGAGGGAGATGGACGGCACCACGGGAATGGAGATGTTGAGCTTCGTGTCCGAGGCGTAGTGGTGAGAAGGCCGCGCCGCGGGGCGGGCCTGTCGTTGCCGGCGCCAGGCCTTGATGGGATCTTGGGCGTGGCGGCAGATCAAGGGCTTCGGCTGGTAGTTTGGCGAGCCGCCGCGGTGCCAGATGGGGATGATGGACCCTTGAGGCGGCGCCAGCCAGTACGGGTCAGAGGGGAGGCGGAAGCCGTTGTTCATGAGGTGCTCGTCATCGAACTGGGCGAATTGCTCGGCCGCGCCAAGGGAATCTGACATTCGGACACCCGCCTGAGCGAAGGACCAGTATGTGGCGTAGTTGAGCTCGAGCTGCGCGCGGGACTAATCGTGAACGTTAGCAGATGCATCTCAGATGTAGGCAATATGCAAGAGATGCTTACCAACACCGCTAGACGCTCGTAGTCTGGGAGGTCATCTACATCGCCGTCGACCAAGCCAATCGCCCTGGCAACCTGCGGAAGCGCGTTGTAGCGGAAGGAATCTGCGAGATTGCGAACACCGATCTCGGCATCCATAAACCTGCGTTTGCTTTGTCAGTGATTGTAATTCTTGCAAGTCAGATAAGCTAAACTCACCATCCAATAAAGGGCGCCGCGGTGTATTGCACGCCGCCGATGCTGAAGCCAAGGCGGCTGAGTGCCGGCGCAGGAACCCAACGCAGGCCAAGGGTCTCGAGCTCGGGGTGCTTGGGATGGCGGATATGCACCAGAGGGAATGCGTCCTTGGGGAGCTCAGTGATGACGGGCTCTTCTCCCTCAGCCATGGTGACGAGAGGGAGCAGATCCCATTGTGAGCGGAAGCGTGGCGGCGTCCAGCCGAGTTCGATGATGGCGTTTGTGAGTTCCACGTTGGCGGGGTCTCCGAGGATTGTGCCGTTTGATTGTTGGTACTTTATCCGTGTTAGTCAATTTGCTCGGTTCTCATATGAGAGGGGAGAAAGACTTACCCCTGCAAAGGACAAGAGTTGTGAGTTCCAGATCATGGGTCCGCGGCTGTCAATGTCTCTGGGAGGGAAGACGAAGACTGTCGGGTTGATTTCACCCGAGTTATATGCCACTCTCAAGTTCTCAATGAGAGTCTCGGCCATCTTTTTGCTTGTTCGAACATGTCTCAGGTCGCATAGCCTTTCAATAACTATTAGTAAAATAACTCAATATCAGACTTAGGTTTTGAGAATCATACCTCAAGTTGCTATACTCTGATCGCATGATGCATTTCCGAGCATGTTTCCAAGCCGTCCGGAGACCGAACTCGAGTTCTTCAAAAGTTTGTGTCCACAGGCCACCCACCAAGCCAACCGTTGCTGCCGGTGGCGCCTCTGATCCGCATTCGGACGCCGTTGTGAACTTGCCCTCTGTCGAGTTCTTTTGGATCTCCTGCAGAACCTCGTGTGCCCGGTGGTGAAGTTGCTCCGTGTCAATGAGACCGTCCTTGTACATTTGCTGAAGGAAGTCGAGCGCATCCTCGCGGACTTGGGCGTATGACTGATTCCGGCCAACACGCTCCTCGTCCATGTGCGTCATCCGACCGGACTGGCAAAACTTTGTTGTGCAGCCCGTTGAAGATAGAGAAGGGTATTGTGAGCGGATGTTGGCGAACTCTTGTTCCGCTGAGATTTGCCGCGGCGGCTGGGCGAGTGTGCCTTGAAGGAACGGGCACGCCATTTTGTTGTGTGTGAGTGCGTGTAAGTATGTAAGTTGAGATTGGTAAGACAGGGATATCCGACCGGGGAAGTCGAATAAAACTTCGTCTTTTCCCCAAAGACTTTGAGGATACAGAACCCAAAGAGGCTTAAAGCATAGAGGTGAGAATAAGGTATAATAACTTTAGTGCGTCTGTAGATCGGTGTTATTCCAAGTGCGAGTCAGAGTGGAGTCTTTGAGTGAAAATTGGTGATGGCGGCATCGGCATCCAAGCGAATGACTAAGTTTAAGCGCCAGTGTCAGTGGTTGATGATCTTACAGACGGGGAAAGCCAAAAAAGAGTGGACGAACCCTCCAACTTTATAACACTCCAATGTAAAACAAAGGGAATAAAGGACATTAAACTCCAGACCGAAGAAATCTTAGGATGACTTAGTGTTTTGGAGAGAGCTGAGCCCTGCCGTGGACGCCCATCTTGCCAGGTTTGGCTCTGCATCACCGTCTGATATTGGACACACCGGTTCCCCTTCCTTCTGGAGCAGCCACATGGGCCCGCTCCCCTCCAACAGGATGATTTGCACATCAGTCAACCTCGTGCTCGAGGTAATACACCACAACCACCACTATGTGGTGAGGAGGGGTGGTACAGCCTGTCTCAGGCAGGCTGGTGCAACTTCCACTGCTGAATGGCTGAATCCATTGGCAAGGGGTGGTTATCGAGAAATGTTGTTCAGCCCCCCAATAAAGGGGTAAGCTTGTATGGTTCCCAAAGCCACCGCAATGTCAACACTTGTTCGTTTACGAAGCATGGGGAATTTTCACACGAGGCAGTAAACGGGCATGGGCTTTTACCAAAGTGGGGGATGACGGCGATGAGAGCGTCCTAGCGCTGCCATGCCATCTGACATGGAGGGTTGTCCTCGGGACCGATGTTGTTAGCTGGCCGAAATATTGTTGGTGAGGAGGCTGAGTTGAGTAATCTCTCACTTCTCACTTACCTTACAACATGCACGGCCGTTTCCCGCTCAAGTTAACCTTTTCCCAAACAAACGGCTTCAATAGTCGATGAGGGGTCTGTCTCTCTGTCTGGTTTTTGGTTTGTGTTCTCTCCCTTACTCTCTCTCCCAAACCTCGGCCCAAGGACCAGTTACACGGTACCGATCCATCGGAGTACACAGACGTACGGCACCGATTGAGTAATTATCTGTAGATCACGATCCGCGACAATATACGCACGAAATGACACAAAGTTGGCTAATGGGTACAACTGACGGCTGACTGCAGCTTGCTTTCTGCGAATGATTGGCAACTTCAGAGTTGCATTTGGGCGTCAGTCGGCAAACTCGAAGGAGTGTATCCTCCGGACCAACACTCAGCCGTGCTGAGTGAGGCGATTCACACCCACTAGTCGTGAAATGTCTCCCATTCGGCGTTAGGCGCGGATGCATCACGAGACCATTGGGCCTCATCCGCCAAGTGTGTGTGTATTATGTGTGTGCCTGCCTCGTCTGTCTCGTCTGTCATACGGCGTAATTTATTGCCAATTTCTCCGCGGCCGAATCTTGCGCACGCAACTCGCGTGGCTCGCCAACGCCATTGCATGAGATTCTTCAAGCCATGGCTGCCTTTCAAGATCTCAGCCAGGCCTGGACATTCAGCCCGTTTAACCCCCGTCATGGCTAATCCTGACCTTCCATCGTTGAAACTAACGATTTCGAAATGTAACAGAAACCCTTTTGGAATGTTCTATCGCGTCCGTGGCGTTGTCTCTATTCGGATCCCGGGTTACGAATTTCGTCCCGGAGGGCCACGAGGAGAGGATAGAAGAATGTGGGAATACAAGACTACAGTAAATATAGTGAGGCGCTGATCTAGAAGGTCTCGAGGTGGACGAGGACGGGCTATTGAACGTGAATATCGCGTGGAGACCACGCCTTCTCGCCCTCACTTGTTCGCCTTCTTTCGCAGCTGGAGCCGAGGTGGCTGAGATTCATTGATTCAAGACAGGAGAAAGAAACGAGGCAAAACCTGAACCCATCTCCTCCTTGTTCCTGAGGCGTTCGCCTCAACTTTTCAGCAGCGCCCTCTGGAAGACCACATGGCAAATAAGTTAAAACAACAATTTAAAAATTGGGGCGCGTTTCGTGTGACGTTGCGAATTGTGGATTTTTTTCTAGAACCAGAGTGAAGCCGCTTCCAGTATCAACTCATTCGGTCGCGAAAAAAGGGTGTCGTTCTCTCTTTCTCTAACATGACATCAAATTGCGTGAAACCAAACTCGAGATGTCAAGGCGGTGGCACAGCATGAAGATGGCCCGCCCCGCCCGGATGAGATCTGCAATACCGAGCCTGACAGCAAGCAGACCCGGGTTTTCTTGCAGGACAAATCCGCAGTCGGCGGGCCTCGAAAGTCTGCCTTCCGTATTTTGCTGGTGCTTCCAGGTAAATTGTTTGGTGCTGTTGGAGCGTTTCGGCCGATGACCGGCGGCGGTGCAGCTTGACGTGCTGCTGCTACTGCTGCATCGTTGGAAGAGGCTTTCCGAAGCGGTGCGACATCGCCAAGGCTGCAATGGAGAGCTTCCAGAGGTGAATGACACTCGTCACGTCGTAGATGTGCAGCAAAAATGCTCGAGGTTCTTAGCTCTCAGCAGCAGCCGAGGAACTCCTCCATCATTGGTGTGATTTGGGTTGGACGCCAGCGAATTCAAAGTGGTGTTACCGGTACGTCTGTTGCTGTTAGCGGGATGGTTCACAGACTAGGGAGATCGACACGCGCGGACTGCTGACTAGCTTAGGCACGCAGGGCAGTGTCTGCTTTGGCCATTGCTGGATCGCAAGTTTTTGGGCGTTCACGTTGGTTGCGGTCAACGTAGAAATCATCAGAATGCCCCATGTGATGTAATCTGAGCAAATGATAATGATGTGAGAGGAAGACACGAAAACGAACGACAGAAATCTTGTCGAACGTGGCTTGTGCGGCAACTTTCTGATTCATCCTCGCGGACAAGTCATGCCATCGTCCGGTTCGGCTGGATTTCACCAAGGAATGCAAATTTTTGACGAAAAAAAGACGTGAGTTTGCAAGCCTGAGTCTACTAGTTCTATCCAAAATTCCCAACTTTTACTCTGTTCACAGTTAGCGACGTGGTCTTGACGGGCACCTGCAAAGATGAGGTAGGTGATTTAAGCTACGAACCCATTTCGATCGTTCCGGGGGGCTTCGACGTGATGTCGTATGTGCAGCGGGCGACGCCGTCAACCTCGTTGATGATACGGGTCGAGATCTGAAGGGCAAGAAGTCAGCATCATGAATAGCGAGGAGCAGGAGCTAGTCATACTCTCTTAAGAAGGTTGAAGTCGAACTCATAAGGCTCTGCGGACATGAAGTCCAGGGTCTTGACGGCGCGGAGACTAAGACCTAAAGTCAGCTGATTGATCGAGAGAGATGGCCAGGGAGGCGAGAAGGTTTGCTAGCAAGAGAGGCTTTGGTGATGGCAACTTACATGATAATGTAGCTGGAAGACATTTCAGTTTAGCACATGACCTATTGACTGATACAATATTTCGAGGGCTTACCCGTAAACCTAGAAAAAGTTAATCATCTGCAAGATCTGCATATCAGAAGGGAGGGACATACTCTGGCATCACCTTGAACTCCAACAGCTACAGAGAAATCATTCGTTAGTAGCGGAACTAGGCGTTGTGACAGGTTTTGAACGTTGAACAGCCCGGTGACGTACCCTTGTTGGAATCCACAGCAGCATACGCTTGAGACATCTACATATTGGTCAGAAATTGTCCCGGAGAACTCGAAGGTTTGACACTCACCTCATTGTAGATTCCGGCTTCCTTGATCATGGAAATGAAGATGTTGTCGGCAGCACGGGCAATGGCGACTCTCTCGGGCGTTACCTCTCCAATAATGCGGATAGCAATCTCACTGGTGTTAGACTAGCTACGTGTTGTATAGCTGGCGATCTGGTACTTACACCGGGGCCGGGGAACGGGTGACGCATGACAAGATCCTGGTGGATGCCCAGTTGTCTGCCGAACTCTCTAACCTCATCCTTGAACTGTTTGTGGGAGTCAGTATGGGACGTAAAAAACACTCTAAACGAGAGCAAAAATGCAGTGAAAGTGCGACGTAGTTTCGTGTCGGCCAAATAGACACAACCCCGCTTTGGGTACATGTCCTACTGTCATCCGAGTGTGACAGATCACAGGATGAGGACGGAAGAGGATTTGGGGAAACGAACCAATTCTCTGAGGGGCTCGATGAGTTTGAGCTGTACGAAAGTTAGCTGAAGTAAACAACCAGAGGACAAGAAGCAGGCACGGAGGCGGTGTAGTCCAGCAATCAGGGATGAGGAATATTCTCTTCCCAAAAATAATGGCTTCTCCAGGAGAATTCTTACCTTCATCTTCTCGGGAAGTCCACCGGTGTTGTGGTGAGATTTGATAGTCGCACTGGGTCCCTTGAAGGAGAGGGACTCGATAAGATCGGGGTAGAGTGTACCCTGGAGGAACCAAGTGATGGGTCCGGCATTCTCGGTGTTCTCGGCCTCCTTCTCCAGTCTCAGTGCCTCCTTCTCGAAAAGGTCAATGAAGGTTGCGCCGATGCTGCTATCGTATTAGAAAGGTCGACACGTATTCTCAGACATACTGACATCTTGCGCTTCTTCTCGGGCTCGGTGACGCCCTTCAGGCGACCAAGGAACAGGTCAGCTCCGTCGGCGACGGTGAGGTTGATTCCAAGGTGCTTCTCGAGAGTCTCCTTAACTTGCTCGCACTCGTTGAGACGCATGACGCCTGTCATAATGAACTTAGTAAGCTATTCTGCGCCGTATGTGACGGCGGCTTGCTTACCGTTGTCGACGAGGATAGCGTGGAAGCGGTCGCCTGATGAAAGATTAGCATCTCCAGAACTTTTTCTATGGAAAATGAAACCATACCAATAGCTTCCTTCATCAGCTTGGCTGCGACAGTGGAGTCGACACCTCCAGAGACGGCGCCGATGACCTGTGCCTTGTCGCCGACAAGGTGTCTAATGCGGATGATCTCCTTCTGGATGAAGTCCTCCATAACCCAGTTGGGTCTGGCACCGCTGATATCGACGGCAAAGTTCTTCAGGATCTCAGTACCGCGAGGTGTCTAAGTTGCCAAGTCAGTATGCGTTCGTGTCATCAAAACTGTACGGGCGGCGTCTGAGCCGGCGGTTCTCCATAATAATCAACGGCCCCACAATAGGCGCCTTGCCGATGGCCGGTATAAGATCGCCGCACTCGACAAGGAAGACGTCCTCGTGCTGAGTGGATTGTCGGGAGTAATTCTCAACTTACGTGCTCCTGCGAAGAGTTAGTTATGTTCTTCCAGAGTTTTAGGAGAATCAAGTGGGACTAACCAGCTCAGGGTGGAATTGAACGCCTGTGGGATTCAGAGTATTCAGTCAGTCAAAATAAAAAGTGTGCTAACAGTGACAATCGGTAGAACAAGATCGCGTGAATCTTTCAAAAACTGCACAAAGTCGAAGGTTGATCGAGAACAACATACCGTAAATTGGCTTGGTCTGGTGGGCGATTCCGGCATACTCAGAGTTCGCAGTGCTCGCAACGACGGTGAATCCTTCGGGAAGGGCCACCAACTGTATTGATATTAGACAAAATGGCTTTGAAACTGCGAAGTGCTCTCTATTGAGGTTGGTGTACCTTGTCAAAGTGACTCATGTATGCTATCGCGAAAGTTAGTTTTCGCCAACAGAGTATTAGGGGAGTTCAGAAACATATGGAGACTCACCTTGCATTGTCTCTCCCAGACCAGCGAAGAGGCGGTCAGTGTGGGAGTTGCCGGAGTTGAGGATAGTGACATCGGCATGACCGTACTCTGTATATCGGACGGGTTAGAATGTCGTTTCTTTGATACGACTGGTTCCCCCAAAAGTGACTGACCTCGGGCTTCACCGCGAGCTACGTTCTTGGAGTTGATTCTCCAGGCAAGTTCCTGCACATAGTCAGCTGGCTGATCGTCTCGACAGAATGTAACGTCGTAATCTTGGTGTAGGGCGAGAAAGCGGCTTCGTGCAGTCGAAAGCAAGGGGGATGTATCGGATCGCGCATTACCTGGCAACCGTAGCTACAGACATGAATGAGTACATATTTCCGCTACGAAGGTGTTGGCTGACATACCAGATACCCAGAATGGGAACACCGAGATCAAAGATCGCGGGGTCGACGTCTTTACAGTATCAGAAAGAGCTCTACTCTACTTGCTCAAAGAGTTTCCTTACGAGGAGAGTCTTGGTCGTAGACAGACGAGGGACCGCCGGACAACACGATACCCTTGGGCTTGAAAGGAAGATCCGCCAGCTTGGTTGTGCAAGGCAGCATCTCAGCGTAGACCTTGAGGGATCTCAGACGACGGAGGATGAGATGGCTAGTTTGGGAACCAAAGTCGAGAACGAGAATGGTCTGGAATGCAGTTTGTCAGCTCTCCGAATTGGAAATGGCGTTTGTGACCCCCAATAGCTTTGACTGTATCGACATCGTTGGCGCCCGGTGACTCGTATGTTGTGACTGCGGGGAGGATCGTGAGTTCGAGTGGACGGGTTCGATAAGCGGGAGCCGTGTGCTAAAACTCGTCGCGTGACTGAGTGGACGAGCTCTAGTGTCGGGAAAGTTCTTCGAACTCGGTTGACTACTGCGTTTTCGACTCCTCTGGTATGACTCCCAGTACGCCCTTCAGCTCTATTAAACCCGCCCACGGAGCAATAATCGTGATCCGAGGCGGTCGCGGGGCATGTCGGTTGGCGAAATCGAATCAATGCAGAGTTATACGAGGCTATAAGGATTCGGGAGGTCGAGTTCGTGGGTTCTAGCACTTTTTCGAGGCAATGGGTGGTCGTGTCGGTGATCGCGATGTGTTGTGGGCAGCGGGTTCCACACAGTCAAAGTTCCTGGAGGTCGCATTGGGGGCATTGACGAGGGCGAAGGGAATAGACGTACGTCAAACATGTTGTGAGGCGCCTCGGCCTCGGCTTCAATAGCGCTCGCCATCTTGAAATGCTTGCTTGCTGGAGAATGAGAATATGCGTGTTGTTGGCGGTCGTGTGATTTCCGGCGAGAGAAAAAACGAAGGCGGAGGGAAAAAAAGTTTTGGTAAGAGTCAATCAATCGACCCGGCACGGCACACCTGCGCATGGCGGGGGCGGGGCACTTTTCTGTCCCTTATCTTATCGCGCCAGGGGTCCACCTCAGCCACATTACAGCTCCAGCCACTTCCTCGCACTCTATTGGTGTTCAGTAACAATGAATTCAAGCAGTCGAAGAAGCTGAGATGTGTATGTTTGTATATGTATTCATAGTGATATTTTCCTCATACATATCAAGTAGAATTATTAAGCTCAAGTAGAAAGACTCGAAACGTAGTGAAATGAAACGTCACTTTCAGATACCTACCTCAGGGCAAATACTATTAAGGGCACTGGACTGGTCCCAATCCAGCAAGGATGATGTCATTCATCGCTCCAGTGACATCGCCAAACCCGCCGAAATTTGAGGTTTCTCTCAAAGACATGAGCATTGGTTCTCATCGATATTTTGGTCAACATACGTGAGATCATTACAAAATGTATGAGATCTACGCTGTGAGTACATCCTACCTGGCGTCGTCGAGCCCTTACGCCGACTAACATATCCAGGCTGGTGCTGCGGCAGCGTTCACAGTTGACTGTCTGGTCTACCCTCTAGACACCATCAAGACCAGATATCAGAGCCAAGACTTTATCAAGACGTATGCCTCGACATCAGGGAGCAAAGCGCCCCTCTTCCGGGGCCTCTACCAGGGCATTGGGAGTGTGGTGCTGGCCACATTGCCGGCAGGTAAGTACACCCGAAATTTCACTCAGGCCCTTACAGACCACGGCAAAATTCGGTATGAATGGTGCTGATAAGCTTGCAAACTTGCCAGCGGGAATATTCTTCGCCACGTATGAGAGCATGAAGAAGACAATCTCTAGCACGGCCTTGCTCCCTCAACCGTTTGTACATGCCTCGGCCTCAGCCATCGCAGAGATGGGCTCATGCCTGGTTCTCGCACCCGCAGAAGTCATTAAACAAAATGCGCAAATGTTACGAAAGCAAGACAACAGCAGCAACGGTACCAGACGATCAACATCACTTGAGGCTCTGCGACAAGTCACAAGTTCCGGGGCGCAAAGACGTCTCTTCTCCGGCTACACAGCCCTTGTCGCGCGCAACCTCCCCTTTACCGCGATTCAATTCCCCATCTTTGAGTACGTGCGAAACACAGTCTGGACCTCGAGGTCGCAAGGGAGGGCAGAGGGCGAAGAACAAGGACTCGTAGAGACGGCCGTGGTCACAGGGACCAGCGCGGGCGCAGCGGGCGCGTTTGCGGCTTTCATCACTACGCCGAGCGACGTCGTCAAGACGCGGATGATGCTGAGCGCGGGAGAAGCCGGCGATAAGAGCCACAGCACTTCTCCGCCCTCACATGCTGAGAAATCGGCGAGCCCTGAGCCGAAGCGCGGCAGCTTGGAGGTGACGCGGGACGTGTATCGACGACACGGCGTGCGCGGCTTGTTCCGCGGTGGAGGGTTGCGTGCCGTGTGGACGGCAGTCGGCAGCGGTCTCTACCTGGGCACGTACGAAATGTCAAAGGTCTGGCTTACTCGGGGCAAGGACGAATCGGAAGTTGTCGGGGGGCTGTAGAATGGGCGGAAGAAAAGCAGCAGCAGAAAACGTGCATATGTGAGATTATCGGGGGTGCATTTTGAGAGAGATAACAACCGGCGGTGACGGCGGCAGGAACCTAAGAAAGTTTGCTGTCAGTGTATCTATCCGGATACGTGTATCTATAGAATTGGGCTTCTCTTATCAGCATCAACTTATCAAGGGGCGGCAATGAAATGAGATGCATAGAGGGAGCCGTTCCGAAGGTCACGTCGTGCCAAATCGTCTGGTTGTTGTTGAAAGTCGCCAATTTGGAAGAGGGAGACAAGTTGAAGCGACCTGAGTGAGTAAGGCAAGAAAAAGTTCTCCGAAACACGGCCTGGACCATTGACACCACCTCGAGGCCTCAAGGCCCCACGGCTCAATCCCATGTTGCCGCATTGATGGGGTGGATATTTGCCCGCCGGCGCGTTGATGCCGGGATACGTCAGCCTGCCGCTGGGAAAAGTTGTCGGCCAATAGTTTCGGTCTGATAGAGCACAAGTTGCAACTCTGTCGGCCCCTAAAAGTCAGAATGCAGAAGTGAAGGCAAAGAGAGAGAACTGTTGGCAAATGGCACATACGCACCCTGATGGCTCCCGCAAACTTTTGCTTCTTCTCCTCTTTCTCTCATTAATTGACCAACGTTGCCAAACCATCCCATCCGCCTCATCCTTTTTGTTAGCCCTACGGCTAGACGTTTTTGGTCGTTCATGGCCCCGGTGTAGCGTCAGTGAAGAATGCGGGGGAAACCGCTGCTCCAACTCATCGTTTGGCTTTCATTCTAAAGCAACACCACCACCAGAAACAGCCAGGCTTGGTCATCCGTTCTTCAGAGACGGGCGAGCCATCCTTTGTCGTTAGCCCCGAGTTTCTGGCGATTTTCTGGCCCCAAAATCCTAAGTCTATGCTCAACACTCCATGTTCTTTTTTCCCTTTCTTTGGTGCTCCTATTGCGCTTCTGCATTGACAGTTAGTAAAGGTAACTCAAGAGTTCCGTATCTTTGTGTAACTCAACTCCCTTACCTCGCTGTTTTCTCCAGAATGACGTGCCAATAAAATTAAAATTCTAAAAAAGCCAAAGTCCAAGTCTCAAGAGGCGCATTGCGCATCATATCCAAAATTACACACGTCTCTGGCATCAGAACCACATCCGATTGCGCAATCCCTCCAAACTGGTGCGCTCCTTTCGCCCATCGGTACCGTGCTCCGTACCGAACCGCACCATCCATGGCTGTCCCATGCTTGCATGCTCCCCCCTACTGCAAGGCATGTGTGTGGCATGCAAACGTCCGGGAAATTCTTTTTTTCCCTTCTCTTTTTTCTTGAGATGATCCATATCTTGGGTTAGCCCGCCGTGCCCGCCTGGCAGCCCACCCAGGTCGCAGATTTGCTACCTATGCAAAGTCCAGTCCCATGCAAAGCCCAGAAAAAGGGGTCCCTGAGAGTGAGCATGGTAGAGGGATGAACACCGCTTCTTTGACCGGCACACCGGGTTGGTCAGCTGCACTTGACTCGCACCGAGTCGCTCGACGGTGTGTAAGGTGTTAGTCGCTCCCGACCCACCTGGGCTTGGGTTAGGCAATCCCGTGTCGAAAAGACGTTTCCTCGACGCCCCCTGCCCGACACGTCCCTGACTCTGAATGGTGTGCTGTGCTGTGCTGTTCTTATATTTCAGACTCGACGCTCATTTCGTCTTTTTGTCTTTTCGCTTTTCAGATGTTTGTCGTCTTCTTGTCCCACATATCGAAAGCACCATAACATAGCCTCAGCTTGTGCCGAACTTGAGTCTGCCGCTTACACCACTCGTTGCTTCACCACACATCGTCTTCAGGCCGTCTTCAGGTAACCTTTAAGCGCACTCGAGAATACCTTGACCAACAGCTCAGAATCGCCCGGGCTCCCCAACCAGACATAATCACGTAGCATTGCTCCGGATTATCATCATGACTGCCGTCGTGACCACAGCCCCATTGGGCGTCGACCTTCTGGCCCAGAGCATCAAGGAGAACACAGCCATAAACATTGCTGAAGTCGACATCAACAACACGGACAGATTCCTCGTCCACTCTCCCTACACAGAACCAGAGCACTTGCTAGACCTCGAGACCCTGGATGATGAGAACGCCCTCCTCGCCAGGGCGTTGTCTCAGATGGAGTGCCTCCGCGCGGACTACGCCACGGCCGGCTACGTTGAATCCTTCAATTGGGACCAAGTTCTCGACGAGCTCAGGCGCCTCGTTCAATCCACTGGGAAAACATTCAAGGAAACTTCCTTTTACATTGTGGCATTCCGCTCAACGATCCCGCCATCGACCATCTATGAAGATCTCGGCGTTTTGGACAAGGCCGCGCACGCCGAGGCCAACCAATTCGGGGGCTTCTTGAAGTAAGAAAAAGAACGAGGAAATAGAGACAAAGAAGGACAAGAGACTAACTCGCCCGCAGATATTGGTTCGGAAGTCCCGACTCAGAAGGAAGAAACTTGGCAACGTGCGTCTGGAGGTCGAGACCAGATGCCGTCAAAGCCGGCCACGGTCAAGCTCATCGCCGGGCAAGTCGTGCAACAGCGTCCATGTACTCATTCTGGAAGATTGATCGTCACCGCCTAATCGTTCGTGACGGAGCCGAAAGCTGGGAGATTGTCGATTGGGTTGACTGAGAGCACCCTCCCTCAGACGTACGGGCAGGTAAAACAAAAGTGACTATTTGCGGCGTTTGGTAATTTGGGTAAATGTCGCCATCGGGCTGGTAAATGAGCAATGAGACACCACAAACAGAGCGTATGGAACGCGGCATAAGAGGGTATGACATGGGCGCACTTGAATACTTTAGCATTATACAGCCAAGACATCACTGGCTTTTCCTCCATAGACAGCGTAATAGACAAACGCATAGACGCCATCGCACCGTACCTATCCTACACTTGCATTCAAGTGATGGCCATGCTGAAAATCATTCTGGATGCTAGAGCGAAAGACGAGGGGATGGTGAATACTGAGGCAGGCGAGAGAGCTCGGACTCCCAGAGGGCGCTGAATCACGGCCGCGATGTACCATTTTCATTTTATCGACATGTACAACTCGACATGGCCACATAACACCCCTCGAGTGATATCGCAAAATGATGCTCAGGAGCAGGAGAGTCGAATGGGCCAGGTTCTGAAGAGAAAGATGGAAGGAGGGAAGCGTAGGACGACGAGATGAGACGACGTTGAATTTAAACTCGACTTGAGTGCTTTCGGCGTGGGGGCAATGAGTGGGATGCCCTCCCATTCAGGACGTGGCGTGTGGAATCTGTTACGGATCACCGTGGGAGAGAAAGACGGCGGTGTGGGTCCGTGGACGGCCGGTCCGGAGGGGGTGAACTTAACGGAGCTTGAGGGGGTGGACATATCACATGACCTTTCTCCAGTGAACTCTGCCGCCTGACACCGCCCGACAGCCCACAATCCCTCCCACAATTCGTTGTAGCGAAAAGTTCGATATTTCGCAACACGACGAGACGACTGCCGCCCCCCTCCTCGAATTCCGACCGCCAAGTTAACGCGACACCAACGATCCCGCAGCCGCAGACTCAAACCAGGTCACCGAATTTTTGAACCTGCACGAATCTCTCCGATCGTATCGCAAATATGGGTGACGTTATCAAGGAGGTGCCGCTCACGGCGGTCCGCGTTGAGGCCCTTGTGAGTACTGCCCGAATTCTGCCCCACCTCTCCTCACATTGGGGCTTCATGCTGCAGTGCAGTCATGATGGGAGGGAGGGATGTATGAAAGATACGTGGATGTCGTTAACCTCAGATGTGCTTTTAGGTGGTGATGAAAATCGTCAAGCATGGCTCTTCGACCTTCCCCACGACCGCCACCGGTTCCATCGTCGGCATGGACGCCGACGGTCTCCTCGAGATCACAAACACCTTCCAGTTCCCCACGGTCGACGTCGCAAGCACCGACAGCCACCAGAACAGCCACCAGAACGATGCCTCAGCGCTCGCCGCCGCCGCTCCTCGCCAGAAGGCCAACATTGTCTACCAGAACGACATGATCAAGCACTTGAAGGAGGTCAACGTCGACGCTAACAACGTCGGCTGGTACACCAGCGCTGCCATGGGCAACTTCGTCAACCTTAGCTTCATCGAGAACCAGTACCACTACCAGAAGGACAACGAGCGGACAGTGGCCCTCGTCCACGACGTCAGCCGCAGCTCCCAGGGCTCCCTGAGCTTGCGCGCTTTCAAGCTCACCCCGTCATTCATGGCCGCATACAAGGAGGGCAAGTTCACGACCGAGAGGTATGTGTAGACTGTCATGGGACTACGTTTGCCGATACTGACATGACAACCTGCAGCCTGAAAGCATCCAAGCTCACCTTCAAGGACATTCTCGCCGAGCTCCCCGTCGAGATTCACAACACCCACCTCCTGACCTCGTTCCTGCACCAGCTTCCCGGCCTCCCCGAGCAGGACAAGATCGAGTCGCCCAACTCCCTGTCGGATCTGCGCGACGACCCCCTCAAGCAGCAGCTCCACCCCTCGGTCGAGAATCTCGACCTCTCGATAGACCCCTTCCTCGAGAAGACGTGCGACCTCCTGCTCGAGAGCATCGAGTCCCACTACACCGACCTCAACAACTTCCAGTTCTACCAGCGCCAGCTCGGTCGCGAGCAGGCCAAGATCACGCAGTGGCAGACCAAGCGCAAGGCGGAGAACGCGGCGCGCGCGGCGGCCAAGCAGGCGCCGCTGCCCGAGGACGAGTGGCAGAGGCTGTTCAAGCTGCCCCAGGAGCCCAGCCGGTTGGAGGGCATGTTGAACGCGAAGCAGGTGGAGCAGTACAGCAAGCAGGTGGACGGATTCACGGCCAACATCAGCGCCAAGATGTTTGCCGTCAGGGAGAACCTGCTGCCCAAGCGAGCTTAGATGGACGCTTAAGGCAGGCTCGGTCGGGCCATTTTGTTTCGCCTCTCCGCGAATTTGGACGAATGAGGAAATCGGACATATTGTACGCGTGAGACGATGAAAGGGGAGTGCAGTGCAGAGCAGAGGAGGAGAGCAGAGTCAAGGCGAACGAGGGCAGACACAAAAAGGAGAGGAATTACCTTAGAGAACAGGTGTTCTGGGAATGATGAATGATCTGGGGCAGCGGATCAAAGCATTCGAAACGGCGTTACGGTAATTAGTCCCAGGCAGTGTGTACTGAGTCGATATTCGATGTCTTTTCTTGCATTCCAGAGCGACGGGCTTTCCTCCCTGGGCCGCGGTATATTTCGGGCATACTACTGTCAACGGCCGACGTCAACTGAAGTCTTGCAAGTAAAGGGGTACGTTGAAGCTGTGAGGCAGTCACAAGATGAGACGAGACGAGGCTGTCGTGGTATGGACATTGCATATCGCGGACTGGGGGCTGTCATTCGGCCTGGGAGATGATACACCTGGACATAGGAGTAAAAGATCAAGTAGTGGATTATCGAGTGCGTTTATCAGTGGTAACATAAAGTAGTAGTACGTGGCCAGACGATGAAGCTCTACCGAGCTAGACCTGCCCGCGGATACTCGTCCGTCAAGTAGGTTGAAGATGGAACCAAACAAGTTGAACAGCAAAGATGAAGTATCCGTATATGTCGCCGGGCAAGTCAGCTTGAGACGCTTCGGTCCCAAACATCATCCCGATTATCGTCCCTGACCCATGCTATGTATCGGCGACAGAGTGTACTTTTGACTGGTCCATATTAGCTTTGACAGCCCTGTCTTGTATGATTCGTCTGGTCCTATTGAGGATACTGCCAAAGACAGTCCATGGGACGTTGGGGACTCGGGAGGGAGAGGTCGACAACAAGGCACCCGAAGACTGAAGTGAGGTACGTGGTGCGTCTGTGTTCCCCGAGGGCGATGGTAGTGGGGCACCAAATCGAGGGGTTTCACGCCAAAAGAAGTCTAGCGCAAGAAAACGGTAAAACAAGGGGAAACAAAAAAAAAGGTCGACCTCTCAGATTGAGTCTCGGCGGCACGCCTGGCGCGGGCGGGCGGGCACAAGCGGCTGCCCTGAAGCTGCTGTTGGTAAGAGAGGGAAAAAAAATTGGGATGTCAATGAGGGGCACATTTCCGTAGGTATTTTTCAGAGGTGCCCGTCTTCTCCCCCATCAGGGTAGGTACCTGCTCCCCATCAGAACTGCATGTACCTTTGCCGCCCACCTTGTGCCGATTGAGCGAGGCAAATGTACCTTTTCCCACTGAATTCACTCACACTGACAGACAGACAGTAAGGTATTTTCTTTCTAAATTACCCGACCTAACCTTACCTTACCTTACGTGCTTACCTCCGAGCATGTCGGTCCCGGCCTACGGGGTGCTCTGAGCTTTTGCAGTTGTGTTTCCGAGTGGCAACGTAATAAAGACCTTCCTTGGACTGAGGTGTGAGGTGAGCTACCAGAGGTACCTACTCAAGGGACCTAGGTAGAGCTCACATTCCAGAGCTTGCTCCCTTAGGTCTAGCCCTCCCTTTCCCTTCCATGTGCGCCGCCCTTTGTGGCTTATCAAAAATGGGAGCTTCGAATGGAAGGGTAGGTACCTTAGGGGAAAATGCAAAACGCCAATTGAACGACGTTGGATGAGACAGGAGTCGGTATCTTGGGCCAGACAATGACTGACACCTCAGCCAATGCCTTAACCAGTGACAGAGGACCGGAGAGAAAAGTCTGGCAGAAAAAAAGCACGAAAAGAAAAAGTACCGGGGAATGGAAGCCGAGCTATCTGATTCGTATCCGTACCTTAGCTACGGCATGGTAGGGTAGGTACATTGCCCCTCCTCTTTTGCCTCCCTTCACCGCATGGAAATGGTCTGAGAGAAGCTCAAAAGGGAAGTGTTCTGGGGCCCTTGAGAAAGTCTGATTGTCAGATATGTGACGGAGGGAATGTACCTCTGTTGCATTGTTGGACCCGAGTTATGGGGAGGGATAGTAGTCAGTCAGTCAGTGTCGGAGCTATCATCAGCCGAGGGGCATGTCCGTCTTTTCCACCTCAGTAATACCTGGTGTGCTTGGGTTGTGAACAGCAGTGATGGACAGATAGCATGTACCTCTTGCTATCGTAGGTATTGTATCAGCTCAGAAAGTCTCGCGGAGCCATGACCAGCAGACTGAGCAAGAGTGACCAGTAGAGCAGCATGGTGTGTCCACCGTCGAGGACGAGGTGCCCAGACAACGACCAGACACTGGCAAAACCCCACCCCGCCTGCCACACCTCGAGACTTCAATTGGAAGTCACGGCCAGAGCATCCTGCCCATCGAGTTGAGGTTTTTGCCCCGCCTCAGGCTTCAGGTGGGCTGCTGGCCTGCTGCAAAGGCAGGAAGTCTCCGTCCCCCAGTCACTTTTTTTTTTACCCCTCCTTCCATCACTGGCCACTTACGGATACCTCAGTCTGAACTTGTGAACTTGTGAAGTAGGTACGGATACCATGTAGAGACAAGTACCCTTTTTTATCACCGTACCTTACGCCGCGCTTCGCCGACACACAGCAACACCAAGAAGGCAAAAAAGGCAAGAAGGAGGTACCTTTTGTTGACACAGCAGGAGCAGCAGAGATTTCTCACCTACCTTACCTCTGGGCAGTCTGGATTCCCGACATCTCATCCCTCGCATCCCGCATCCCTCCCACTTCTGGCACTCCTTCCACTCAGGCACTCACACACACACACACCGCCCTGCCTTCCTGCCGTCCCTGTCCGTGTCTGAACCCCTCCAGAGTCCAAAAGCCTTTTTTTTTTTACTTCTTCTACCTGCCCTCCCCCCGCCAACAACCTTTTGAATCTTCTCCTCTTGCTCTCCTTCTTCATCCTCTCTTCTTCTCTTCTTCCTCTTCTATACCCCCCTTCCTCTCCCCCCCAAACTACCTTTTACCATCACCACAAACTTCACAATGGCTGCCCCCGCCAACAAGTTCAAGGTCGCTGACCTGTCCCTCGCCGCCTTCGGCCGCAAGGAGATCGAGCTCGCCGAGAACGAGATGCCCGGTCTTATGCAGACTCGCGCCAAGTACGCTGCCGACCAGCCCCTCAAGGGTGCCCGTATCGCCGGTTGCTTGCACATGACCATCCAGACCGCCGTCCTCATCGAGACCCTCACTGCTCTCGGTGCTGAGGTTACCTGGACTTCCTGCAACATCTTCTCCACCCAGGACCACGCCGCTGCTGCCATTGCCGCTGCCGGTGTTCCCGTCTTCGCCTGGAAGGGTGAGACCGAGGAGGAGTACAACTGGTGCTTGGAGCAGCAGCTGTCCGCCTTCAAGGATGGCCAGAAGCTCAACCTCATCCTCGACGACGGTGGTGACCTGACCCACCTCGTCCACGAGAAGTACCCCGAGATGCTCAAGGGCTGCTACGGTGTCTCTGAGGAGACCACCACCGGTGTCCACCACCTCTACAAGATGCTCAAGGACGGCAAGCTCCTTGTCCCCTCCATCAACGTCAACGACTCCGTCACAAAGTCCAAGTTTGACAACCTGTACGGCTGCCGCGAGTCCCTCATTGACGGAATCAAGCGTGCTACCGATGTCATGGTTGCCGGCAAGATCGCCGTCGTCGCTGGTTTCGGTGATGTCGGCAAGGGCTGCGCCCAGGCCCTGCACACCATGGGTGCTCGTGTCATTGTTACCGAGATTGACCCCATCAACGCCCTCCAGGCCGCCATGGCCGGCTACGAGGTCACCACCATGGAGAAGGCCGCTCCCCGCGGTCAGATCTTCGTCACCACCACTGGCTGCCGTGATATCCTTACTGGCGCTCACTTCGACGTCATGCCCAACGATGCCATTGTCTGCAGTACGTTCCACCACCCCCCATCTCTAGATATCAAGCCACTAACCCCATCCCTCCAGACATTGGTCACTTCGACATCGAGATCGACGTCGCCTGGCTCAAGGCCAACGCCCAGAGCGTCCAGAACATCAAGCCCCAGGTCGACCGCTTCCTGATGAAGAACGGCCGCCACATCATCCTCCTTGCCGAGGGTCGTCTGGTCAACCTTGGCTGTGCCACCGGCCACTCCTCCTTCGTCATGTCCTGCTCCTTCACCAACCAGGTCCTTGCCCAGATCATGCTGTACAAGTCCGGTGACGCCGCCTGGGGCCAGAAGTACGTTGAGTTCGCCAAGGCTGGCAAGCTCGACGTCGGTGTCTACGTCCTCCCCAAGGTCCTTGACGAGGAGGTCGCCAGACTCCACCTGTCCCACGTCAACGTTGAGCTCACCGAGCTCACCAAGACCCAGGCTGACTACCTCAGCATCACCGTTGAGGGTCCCTACAAGAGCGACATCTACCGCTACTAAGCGGCCTCCTCTTTGTATCATCCAATCTTTTAGCGACTGGATTTCTTCAACATTCCGACTAATGACTTCAACGAGCGTACACCATAACATTTGGCAATGTGTGTTCTCAACAGCATGACTTGCATGACACATCTGGGAAGGGAATCTCGGCTGGGGGCGGTTACGGGCTGGAAACTCTAAAAGCTTGGGGGGCCTGGCTGCGAGATTTTTCAACAAAAAAAAGGCGTTGGCTTGTGAATAGTGATTCCCCAGACCATGGCATCTGTATTTTGCTTTCTTCGGCCCGACTCTTGGGGAGCGGGAAAAAAATAAGGGACTCAACCCCCGGACATGGGATTAGGGGTTATGGGTAGACAACTCGACGACTAGGGCCCGTCAACCGCGGTCCGCATAGATGAATATATGCGTCTTTCGAGCAATAACCATTGTGATTTGTGCCTGTTGACTTGTGCCCTCGCACTGTCTAATTCTCGCCACTTTCATGCCGAGATCTATGCGTGAATCTGTATGCCGACTTCATGTTGGTGATACCGATACGAATTGAATGCAACCGCTACATGATCTGGTATATCCTAGTCATTCCTGCCATGAAATTCCAGACGTCAATCCATCATTCCTTATGTCTTCTGATCTGTCAAATTCCCCTTCTCGCTATGAAGCCTACCTCCATGTACTGAGTGCTGTTGGGGGGCTGAATTTGGGTCCAACGAAGACACATCAAGATGTTAGTGCAGAATAGATGTGTCTAATCCTGTCATAAGCTATCGTCCTTGTCACAACCCAACCGCGTCAGTCGTCAATAGTGCAGTCTTTCGCCCTGTACGTAGTCCAAATCACATTTCTCGTGTAACCTCCAAGGCCACAGACGACCTCATCACGTCACTTGCCACATATCTCTAAAATTGGAAACCTCTACCAAAAGACCGTTTACTACCTCCTTCACCAACCCTAAGCAACTAGCCCCTTTTGCTCAACAACAACACTATCCAACTTCCCCTCCGTCACCGCCCTCCTAACGTTCCCAATGGCCCACTTCTCCATCTTGACGCTCGTCTCGAGCGTCCAGGTGCCCATGTGCGGGACGATGAGCACGTTGGGGTTCGCGAGCAGACCCGGGTGGACCTCGGGCTCGTTCTCAAAGACGTCGAGACCCGCACTGGCGACTTTTCCGGAATCGAGGGCCGATACGAGGGCGGCTTCGTCGATGACGGCGCCGCGGGCCGTGTTGACTATCACGACGCCGGGTTTCATGAGGGCGAATTGGGGGGTTGAGATTATGTGCCGGGTGTGAGCCTGGGGTTTTTTTTGTTAGTGGGTGACGATGAGGTGTTGGGGGGGGGGGGCGGGGTGAGTGGGTGGCTTGCGTACGTTTAGAGGCAAGTTGAGAGAAATCACATCACTCTCCCTCAACAACGTCTCGAAATCGACATGGCTCGCACCACACTCCTCCTCTAAATGTCCCTCGAGCCTCGTACGGTTGAAATACCGCACCTCCATGCCAAACGCCCTCGCCTTCTTGGCCATATTGCGCCCGATGCCGCCCATCCCGAGGATGCCCAGGATCTTGCCCTGAGGGTCGCGGCCTAAGGGTGGAGGGGGTTGACCTTTCCACTTGCCGTCGCGGATGGAGAGGATGGAGGCGTTGAGGTTGCGGAGGGCGCCGAGGATGAGGAAGATTGCAATGTCTGCTGTTGCGTCGTCGACTGCGGTCGGGGTGTTTGAGACGAGGATTGGGGAGGTGGGGGAGCGGGACGTGCAGGCTGGTATGTCGATTTGGTCGTAGCCGGCGCCTGGTGTTGTTTAGCATGTGGTATCTGGTTTACTGCTACTACTGAGAGATTTGTGATGGGAAATGCGTGATGTCGGGCGTGTTCTGAGCGTGTGAGATGGAAGAAGAGGAGGGAGGCTCACCATTGTGGCAGATGAAGCCTACGCTGGCGGGCAGAGCGGCTATGAGCTCGGCGTCGATGCGGCCGGTGATGTGAACGCTTGCAAAGGTGCGGTAGATTGCCTTTACGCCGTCGAGGGCGCCGGACTTGCACTCCTCAAGGAACTCGGCGCGGTTGGTGGCCTTTGGCTTGATGATTTGGGCGACCTCGGCGAGGGATGCCCAGGTGTCGTGGGCGCTTTGGGGGTTGTGTTTATTAGCTTTGGTTCGGTGCGTCTGGTTGAGATGAGAAAGCGTGATATAGGGGTTTTGGTGGGATGATGTGAAGATGAGGCTGGAGGTTGGTTGAGGATTATGAGACGGGACCGGTGAGGATGGAATGATGAAGAGGGGAGACATACTGCTCGATTTGGCCCAGTTGAAGGACTATGGGTTTCGACATGATTGCAGTGATTGAAGCAATTGACTTGAAATCGACTTCTCTTGAGAAAATTCTGTCCTTTGATGGAATTGCAAACTTGAGTGTGCGAGATGTTGGTTAGCTTCAGATGACGATGTCCACCCCATTACGTCGCTTTCTTCACAGGTCAAAGATCTTCTGAAGCCAAGAGATATCGTGCTGGCGCTTGATGTAAGAGAACAACTCACTAGACTAGTCAACCTGACTTGTGATGGTAGAATTTGAGGTTAGAGTGAGTTCCGTCCCCTCGCCGAGTTGATGCCGCGAAGTCGGAGTTGACATACAGCGGCGCGGGGTGGCTTTCCCGTTGGGAAGTCGACTCAATTGGGAAAGTGGGGGTTGATCAGCGGGGTTGGAGCTCAATTGGTCGCCCAAACTCGACTCGTCTCCTTTCAACAGTCTCACCAACAGGTCGTGCTCGGAAGGACTAAGGACGGTTGAGGTGATTCTAATCTCTATTGAGAGTTCTGATACGATGTTGGAGGTTCCCACTTACGGAACTGTCAGAGGGGTTGGAGTATATGTCTTTGCAGGGCGTGAGAGGGCGTGAAAGGCACCCCGCCAGCCCGGCCACTTATCTCAGCCCCGAATCGAGGGCCGTGTCATCCGCTCCGGTTCCTTCGGGAAGAAGGCCGAGTCAAGGTTCTGGGTAAGCTTCGGTAGTCCTTGAGTGAACCAACTTCTTCAATGGAAGTAATAGAATCAAGAGGCTCTCGACATTGTCCTACTGTTTGTAGGATCTAGGTAGACAAATTCAGCCAGTGGTTGGAATATGGATATTTGCGGTTTCAAGAAATTATGCCTGTTTCCTAGATTGCGTATACTAAGATGTATAGGCCAACGCCACCTGAGCGTGCTAGAGCCAGAAGAAATAGAAATGGCTATGAAGAGAGAGGGATGGCTGCAAGTCATACTACCGGTGACTCCCATGAGTCCTGGGAACTTATGCCGGGGCATATTGTAGCTCTGAGCTGCAGGAAAGGCGGGATCTAATACCTTCAGAAAGACAGGGTGAACTGGTCGAATGATGGGTACTATATCAAAGCCTTCAAATGCCGCTTACTTACCATAGCGTTGCCGCAGGATATCTGAAAATAGATGGAAGTATAGTCTATTATCTTGAGAACACTAAGTCTGAGGTCCCGTTCTTGAGTTTTATGATCATTTCTCATAGCACACGCCGTCTTAGAAGGACTGATTAGTTGAAAGAAGCTTACCTAGTATCGGGCCGCATCTTGAAGCTTCTGATCACCAGGTTCCTTTCTGTCAAAGGCCATTAGAATGCTCCAGACAAACCCTCCGCAAGTCCAGAATGGCAACATCTCCCCATAGGTCATATATGAAAATGGTATCATTAAAGCAAAGCCATCATCACCAACTATCCTCCTTAAATACAGCCTGGCAACCCATACCCCCAATGAAATCCCTCGCGTCCTTCTCAGACTTGAAAATATGCGGGTGCGGCTTCTCCCCCACTGTTGCATCAACCTCCATCCCCAACACCCCGTTCGGGTCAACGACAACAACACTCCGCTCATCCAGCAACAACCTCCGGATATTCTCATGAACGATCCTCTTCGCAATATTATTCAACGAATACGCATCCCGAAACGAGAAAACAACCGCACACGCATTCTCATGCCTTCCCGACCCGGGATCCTCCGGATCCGGCGACCCCAGCTCCCTCGCCAGCGCCCTCGTCAACCTCTCGGACCCGGCGAATCGCACCGCCCCGCGCAGACTGAAAATGACGACCTCGCGCTGACAATTCGGGTTATGCGGCTCGTGCGCGCCAGCAACGAGGGTCGCCACCGAAGTCCTCACCGTCGCGCTGGCAATCTGGCTCACGTCCATCATGTGCAGTCCCATATCGCGCGAGAGCTGCTCGCACATGGCCACCCCGCGCACACTATTCCCCCGCTCATCGAGCTTCGGCGAAAACGAAGCGAGCCCGACCTGCCCCGGCAACGCGCCGATGATCCCGCCCGCGACGCCCGATTTCGCGGGGATGCCGACGTTGGAGACCCAGTCGCCCGCGGCGTCGTACATGCCGCACGTGGTCATCACCGACAAGACCTGCCGCACGCTGGTCTGCGGGATGACGGACTCGCCTGACAAAGGTTGCACGCCGCCGTTGGAGAGCGTGGCTGCCATGACGGCCAGGTCGCGGACGTTGACGCTGATGGAGCACTGTCGGATGTACCCCTTTACGGCCTCGCGCGGGTCGCAGGTGATGATGCCCGCGGCCTTGAGCATGTACCCGATGCCCATGTTGCGGTCCGCGTCTTTCAGTTCCGCCTCGTAGACCTCTTCGTCTACGTGCAGCTGGCGGCCCGCGAGGCGCGAGAGGGCGGAGAGGATGCGTTCCGTGCGCTGTTCCAGCGTCGCGGAGGGGGATACGACGAGGGAGTGCGCCGTGATGGCGCCGGCGTTGATCATGGGGTTCATGGGCCTGTTGGACCCGCGCTCGAGGGAGAGGCGGTTGAAGGCGTCGCCCGAGGGCTCGACGCCAATCTTTTCGAGGACGGCGGGGAGGCCCGCGTCCTCGATGGCGAGAGCGTAGACGAAGGCCTTGGAGATGGATTGGATGGAGAACTCGACGCGGTCGTCGCCTGCCGAGTAGAGGTTCCCGTCTACCATGGCGAGGGCGACGGCCATTTTGGACGTGTCTGCTTTCGCTAACACGTCAATGTACCCCGCTGGCGCCCCGGCCTCGTTGGGTCGCGCATTCTCGAGCACGCGGTTGAGGTAGTCCGGAATTGGGGATTTCATTTTCGTGTAAGTGGGATGGGAATCGTGAAGCCACGGTGAGAAGGAGAAACTCATCGTGAGTTTTTCTCTCGGGACTTCGGAACAGGCGTGTTAAAAGTGTATTATTATGTAGCTTTGCACTTGGCGCTTACTAACAGCCCGTTTGTGCTGTTTTCAGCAGTTTTGCAGTTTAGCGGAATTCCGCGAGCCACGCGATGGGTGCTGGCAAGAACGCCCTTTCTTTCTTGTCAACGGGAACCGTTTTCGTTCCGTTGGCAAAAACTATCACTAAGATGGTATGTTAGCTCAACTCACTCTCCCCTGAGCTTTCGAACCCCACTGCTGGGACTCAACGGTGAGGCGAGTGAGTGTAAAACCTACAGTTGGGAATGAAACGTCAAGTAGAATTTGTGAAGCGTACCGGTAGTTGGATGACAATGATGAGAACAATTGGAAAAAAGAGCAGCTATAGTCATTCGAAAATATCCCGGAAGCGCCGAGTCGCCATGAGCTCTTTTGATTGTAAAATTGCCAAATTCGGTAACCCTAAGTGTTCCACCTCCAGAGATCCGAAGCTGGTCGTAAATACGACAAACGCAAGGTTTTCCTTAGGTAAAAGGACCGGAAAAAATTCGCATCTCGAGTTTCAACACCACAACCAAATTTGAATGAAAAACAAAAAACATTGCCGACATCGCATGGACCCCCAAAGAAGGAGACATCTTGGCGAAAGAGGTTTGGCGAAAGAGTAGCATGCATTTCCGAATCTGCATCAAACCTCGCTAATCGCCGGCTAGGCTCTTCAATCGTGGTGACTTGCATGAGCCCTGCATCTCATCGCTGCAAGTACTCCTCCTCATTATCAAGACTTTGGTCCTGTATCTGGTTGGGTGGTCGAGATTTCAGTCATTGTCGTCATTAGTCGAATATACAGCCTCGCGATACTGGGCATCGCTCTTCAGCTTCGACTAAGGTATCAACCTCAAGCGCCACAACCGAAACCCTCATGGCTTGACACCAGACACAGCGATACTAGTTCAGAATTTCTTGATTTCTACTGGCCTCCCAATCCAGGACCGAGGTCATGCTGTCTAATATCGTACAGAGCATCAGCGGTACCGGAATCCAGAAAGTCTGGTAGCGTCCTCCAAGGGAAGTCTCAATGAAAACCACTACCAAGCCTCCCATTACTGGAACCTACCGCCGTGCTCGAAAAAAAACACTTTTTCTTTTTCTTCCCGCCACACCACCGCCATGCCTGAATAATCACTAGTTTTTAGGGGGGAACTACTTGTACAAGATGATGCCGTCGGCCGTGAAAATATAGGACGAGCGGCAGCGTATTGCCGCCCGCATGCTTTGATGCAAAAAAGAAAATTGAAATCACAAAAGGGAAGAAAGCCATGCTTCCCTCCCATCCCTGTGAACGCCTCCAAAAATACACGATTTTTTGTTCTCCCCCGCCCCCTTTGAGCCTGGAAAATGCTGCAGAGTGTGAATGCTGATAGGAAAAAGAGAAAATCCTGGTTGGATCAATATGATCAAGGCTGTGCTGGAGCAGCCTGGTGGGGGTGTGCCGCAATGTTGACTCCGGGACTGATATACGCCCTGATGGCAATCTCGCCGAATCGCCGGACCACGTTGGTTGTTCCGCCGGTAACTTGCGCCTCATCCTGAATGAACTTGTTCGCTACGAAGAGTCGGTTCTTGGGGTCGGACTCATCCATATGCTGAGGCACATTCCGCTCAAAACCAACTTCCACACGAGGAGAGAGCTCTCGTGAGATGGCAATGGAGTAGATGAGATCTCGGTTCTCTCTACCACCAAGCTGCATTCTGAGTTTGCCAAGAACCTCATCACGCTTTGCTGGGTCGTAGTAACACAGATACTGCGCGAGGTTATACCAGAACTCAAACTCCTGCTCGCGATGAGGCTGGGTGTCAGGAACAGGAGGTGTGAGAGGATTTGAGGACAAGAAGTCGCCACAGAGGAGAGTCTCCATGACCTTGACTCGGTTGGCTGCTTCTGTCAGGTCATCCGGCGGTGGCAGAACCTTGGCATCAGCGTTGGAAGAAGGGGGCGCGCTGTTGCATGGCAAGATGGCCAGGGCCCAGATCAACCGAGTCTCGAGAACTCCAGAATGAGTCATCTGGGTGTGGTCATTGGCCGGGACAGACTGAACGATCTTGAGAAATGAGGCAAATTGGCGCAAGAGTTGCTGGCTGTGCTCAAAGGCAAACTTTCCCTGGGCATCCTGCTTCTGGAAATAGTTTGCCTCGAAGAAGGACTGCAGGCCGACAGCGTAGACCTCGCGATAGACGTTGATGATCTCGGTAAGTAGCTCGGGAGTGAGGGCAATCTCCTGGGTGGGAGCAGCGGGGCCCAGGAGGCCGATAAGGTCATCGACCTTCATTCTGGTGGCTGTGCAGGTCGTGTTAGTATGAGGGTTTGAGAACGAAGCAACAACGGCTGAAAGAGAACAAGGCATGTACAATGATAGCGGGAGGGTCGCACCTCTGAGATGGTTGTCGAAGCCTGCCCTTTGCTCGCCCGAGAACGACTGAGTCTGAGTAGAGTGTAACGTTGCCGGGGCGGGTAGGTTTTGCAGAGCTGGATCTATCGGCGCCGCAAAGTCGTAGGCGGTGGGCTCGGGTTTGATGCCGGACGCAGCAGAGTTCAAGGCTGGATCGAGAGGGGCGTGCGAAGATGGGACGGGAGGATTGTACGAGCTAGGCAAGACGGCGGGTTGATTCCCGTACGGGTTTGATGGAGCTACCGGCACGGGGACCTGAGGCGCGGCAGGAGTTGAAGGTACGGTCGGGACCGGAGGTGGAACGGATGATGGCACGGATGGGATGGTCGGCGTCGGCACCCGCTGGGCATTCGGAGCGGGCTGGATGACGGAAGGACCCGGCTGCTGCTTGAAGATGGGGTCGTACCCCAAACACTCTCGCTTCGACTTCTTACAGTTGTTGCAGGACGGGTGAGCCTCGTCACACTATAAGAGATGGTTAGAACGGCGACTTTCAGTGAGAAAAGAGCTCAGCCAAGAGCCAAGAGTAGGCCCGTGAGCGAGGAATGAGAACGGCAACGAGTATGTATGTGTGAGACAACTGGGAGTATGAGAGTTGGGGAAGGCAACGGGTGAATATGCAGATGCCGTTTACGGGCGAGGATGGTAGGGCTGGCTGTGTGTATGATGTGTGTGTGTGTGTGTGTGTGTGTGTGTGTGTGTGTGTGTGTGTGTATTGGGGATGATGATGAGGTAAGGTGAACTCGAGTTGGAGTCGATGAATGTCGCAGATGGGACGAGGCTAGAACGAGCTAGCGGCAGTCGTGACAGATGGGTGAGGGTGGCTGGTGCTTGGAGTTTTTGGAGGTGTGTCCGTCCAGGTTCTCAGTGGTGGCTTGGGGGATTTTGGGGCTTGACGCTTGTCCTGAGGCCCCAACCAAGGCTTGGGCTTGGGGGAACTTGGAGGGAAGAAGGGGAGGGGCTTCTTGCCGGGCAGGCGGGCGCGGCGGTCGGTTCTGCAGGAACGGAAGATTGCTCCTCCCTGCGGGCGTGGGCGCGGGCGCGATCCCGGAACGTGGTTCAAAGGCATGGCTCCCGTCCTCGCTTCGCAGTAGCTCCAGACCAAGCGAACATCAAGCGACCGTTTTTTTTTTTTTGGCGAAACCACGACTCGGTTCGCTTATCGTAAAGAAAGTTTGTTTCTTTGCCATCCTTTGCATTCCCGAGCTTTTCCAATGTTGCCTTCCTTGCGCCCGCGCCCGCGCTTTCTCGGATGAGGAGTCTCGAGAAAATTTCCCCAATCGCCTCTTGCCTCGACAGCGCCCAATTCGTAGCGGGGGTAAGGTGATATGAAAAAAGAAGAAGAAAACCCGAAAAACAAAAACAAAACATAGCAGAACAAAGCAGAACTTCACGAGAATCATCACTAACCTTGATACGACGTTTACGACAAGTCAGGCAACCTGTCTTTGTGCGGCGCTTGATCTCCTAGTAAGAAAAAAAGGTAAACCCCAACCGTCAGCTTTTATCCAAACGAGTCACTGCTACTGCCGGAGCAGCCTTCTTCCGTCTCTTTGCATATTCCTTTAAACATACCTTCTTCGGCCCACCGGGACCGCGCATCAATCTAGGATCGTGCCCGTGGGGGATTTGATATCTCAGGTGATTCAGATCCTGCGTCATATATGGGTTGCTCTGTACTCCCGGCGGGAGGTAGTATTGCATGCCTTGGTTGGGCGCCATCTGCATCTGCATCGGCATCGTCTGAGGAGGCGGCGGCGCACTTTGTTGGTAGTGGTGTTCGAGGCTCTTCATGCTCGGCAGAGAGGGAATCGGCGCGCCAGGACTAGCTCGATATGGGTCCGCCTGAGCTTGCGTCTGCTGAGGGTGGTAGGCATATTGGTTCGGCGGCATAGGACCAGGTGACGGGAAGGCATTGGGGCTCGGGTAGCCTCTCTGGGAGCCATGAGGGTGCTGGTTATGCGCCATGCCGGGCGAGTGTGACGCCCTCGCGTCGCCGTTCTGTTGGCCGTTCTGCTGAGGAGGGAGAGGCGCAGGAGCTGCCACGGCAGGCGTAGGCTCAGTCGCAGTCGAAGTCGCAGTCGCGTTCGTGGTCGAAGGACCAGTCGTAGGCGCCGCAGCAGTGGCAGGTACGGACGCGTTCGCAGTCGCGACGGACGGGATCTCGGTGGAGGGAGTCGGGGTCTCGATGGACGTCAAGGTCGGTGTCGTGGCGAGGGGAGCAGGAGCAGAAGCGACAGGAAGAGGAGGAGAGGTCGAAGTAGTCGGGGGAAGGATAGAATTAGTAGAGGTTGTCGAGGGACCCGTACTAGGAGCGGCGACGTCGTTGACATCAGGCACAACTGGTACAGGCACAGGCGCAGGCACAGGTACAGGCACACTGGAAGTGCTGGCACTGGTGCTGCTTGTGCTGATGCTTGTGGTGTCTTCTTGAGCCATTTCGATTTTAATTAGAAATTTTTATGGAGCCACGATTGGACTTGTGAGGTCGACCAGGGGAAGAGGCGTGGATGGAAGGAAGCAGCGTGGATGCGCGACACCCTGGGTGCAGGTTGATCAGGAGCTGTGCCTGGTGCGTGGTCCCTGTTCTCAGCGTCGCGACTCGAGGCGAGATTTTTTTTTTTCTTCGTGTCCAGTCTTGCTTGTGGCTCGACTGCTGCTGCCACTTGCTGCTGGTCCTGGGACTGACTGGGAGGAGACGGGAGGGGGTGCGGAGGAGCGGCAGCAGGAGGAGAAGAGGAAGGGTACGCGTAGGGGTGCCTGTGGGTGTGTGCGAAGGAGGAATTCGACTTGGGGTGGGCGCCTTTTCGGACCAGTGTCGTCAAGCAGCAGCACGGAAGGAGGTCTTTTCGGGACCGGGACGAGCAGAGAAAGAGAGGAGAAAGGCGATTGTGGATGGCCAGGCGTTCTCCTGCAGTTCTGGACCCCCCTGTGCTGCTGTGTGTCGAATGTGCAGTGCAGTGTGCAAATCCAAAGTCCACCTCAGTGTGCAAAGCAAAGCACAGGTTGTCTTGCGCGCAAAGTGGCAGACGACGTTGTTCGGGTGGGTGGTATGGTGTCGGCCGAGAAGGAAGGCCTGCACTAAGGCAAGGTAGGGAGCGGCGCGCGAAGAGGGAGAATCGAGCAAGCCAATGGCCCAGCCAGATCTGCACAATTTTCGCGCGACGGGTGCTTGGGTGCTTGGGTGCGCGGATGCTTGGTGCTGGGAGCAAGACCTGGGATTGCTTGGATGCTGGATGCTTGCTTGGATGAAGGGGACTCGTCTTCCCGTTTCTCGGCCCCAACACTAACAGGCTGTTTCCACGCGTGCGCGCAGGACGGAGGGGCCAGGGGTGGTCGGGGTACGGAGTATATCCGTCGTCGTCTTCACTGGGCTTGAGCCTTGAGTAGGTACTGTGTCCGTAGGTATGGCAGTCTGCGAGGTGTGACTGGGTGACTGGGTAAGGTGGTCTTGGTTCCGAATGTACCTGCGCGTACCTTACAGAGAAGGCAAGCCGCAAGCCGCAGGAGGGGGTCGGAGTCGGGACGAGGCCAGTCGAGAATAAGATGGTGTCTGGTATTGGTCAGGGAAGACGGCGTATTGGTGGTGCGGGTGGATCTATCAGAAGGAGGCGGTAGAAGAAGCGGATTATGTTAAGGAACGAGACGAGAAGACAGCGCGGGCGACAGGCACAGGCACAGGCATTGAAAGCCCATGGGTGAGTTTGAACGGGGAGTGAATTGTGCTGTCTTTCGTACGGAGTAAAGTACCGCGTAGTTTGGTCACTGGTGAACGGATGGTGGTGGTGCTGCTCGTTGTGGTGGGTGGTGCGTGATGTGAAGGTCCTATTCCTTTTTTTTTTCCGCCTTCCTTCTCGAGGGTGGGTCAGATATTCGGAAAGTGAAGGCAAAGGCGCAGGCGCAGATTGACGGGCCGGCGAGAAGTCTTGGCCTGGCGGCTGGGACACCCGGTTTGTTGGCCTGTACGGAGGAGTGTAGGAGACTAGGAGTATTGGAGTGTTTGCTGCCCAGTCCAGTATCCAGGATGGTGGAGTGTGTTTGGGAGAAAGACGCGGGTCAGGATTGACCGATTGTGACGGGGTTTGCAGGGGGCCGTTCGAGATCAATTGTGGCCGCCGCACGTTCGCAAAGGTCCAAAGAGATGGACAAAAAAGAGGCGGACGGAGTGACGGGACAAGTGGGCGGGAAAAGCGCGGGATCGTGGATGGAGGAGGCAGGAATTGCGAAGGAAGGAAGAGGGGAAAAAAAAAAAAAGATTTCGGTGGAATGGGCCAAGCTCAAGGTGTGGAAAGGTCAGCGGGAAGGAAGCTACTACCTTAGTTACCTTACTGCTCAGCTAAGGTACCTTACCTTACCTTCCTTGGGTAAGTATTTAGTGCTACCTTCCTCAGTAAGCTCGAAGTATGGTGGCCAATCATCAATGGAATTAATTGACTTTTTCTTCTTCTGAATCTTCCAGTCTGTCCCTGTGCACGTTTCTTCTTCTTAGGTAAGGCAAGTCATGACTTAGGTAGTTGACACGGTTGGTAAGTAAGTACCTGAAGGTAAGGACGATGGTGCTAAGTAAACTTTGCAGAAAGAGGAAAGGACCAGCCGCGCGGAAGGCAAAGCCTAAAGACAAGATGGCGCCAATACGCGCGAAATTCACACCGATTTCCATTTGAAAAAAAAAAAAAAAAAAAAAAAAGCACGGCCGCTGTCCACGTCCATGGCGCCTGCCAACTTTGGTCTCTGTTGGGTAAGTAAGCACATAAAGTAGGTAAGGTAAGTACTACACACCTCGACTGTAACTTCCATCTTAGAACTCGGGCTGCTCCTTCCATCTGCTAATGTTCGTGTGATTGGCTCGGAATCACGAGAATGGTACGTAACTACACAGTACCTCAATGGAAGGCAACTGACCTCAAAGTCACGTCGAGTATCGACATCCAAGCTCAAGGATACCTTACCTTACCTTCAGCCAACTTGCCGTTGCCTGCCAACCTGGAAATGGCCGTCTTTGACACTGACAGCATCTCGTTTGGGCTCTTTGCAGTTTGCTGCACCACTAGGGGATTTTAGTTCTGTGGAATTCGTCCCGACCATTCCACTAAAGCGAGCCGCCACTGCTCGTCTCACTCTCGACGCACCTCATGTACTCCATGTACCTTTTTATGTATCCGAATCTCACCACACTCACCCAAACCTCACCTGCCGTCACTTATTACCTCCAGGTTGAATATTATGCCAGGTATTCAGCAACCACTGGGCCGTGGACGTGGAAACTTTCCCGAATCGTCCCTCTACCCGGGACACGCCTCTAGCTTGCTTCCAACCATCGATTCAACCGGGCCACTTGCAGGCTTGTTTGGTCCGATGCCCGGGACATGCCCTGATGCCACGCATGCTGCGTACCTAGGTAGGTACGGAGCACGGAGCCATCCTTTTGTTTCCCTTCCTCTTCCACCTTATGAGATGAGGGGGTACAACATGTCAAAAGATGACTCCTGTCTGTCCCCTTGAATGCTTAACTACTTGACTCCTGTGACCTCAAGGTTGACACAAGTTAGAAAGGCGTAAGAGGTCACCGGTCGACTCTTTCATAACCTCTAACTTGCCTAGACGCAATCCAGAAGGAAACCACTCATTCTGTGACTCGGAAGAGGGTCTCCCCAACTCCTGTCGGCCCCGTGTTGGCCCCCCCGAGCCTTGAACCCAGGTCGCCCAGCGAGTGACAGGCCCGTTTTCTGTGGCTGGAAGCTCGCTGCAAGGTGAATATCGAACCATCCGCCCAGGACCGCCCCCCCCCCTCTCCCCCTTCAAACATCCCGGCCCGTCCAATCCCCAGCCGACGGGACAGTCTTAGTCAGATGCCATCCACAAGGCAGGTACGAATAACCTACGACTTTCCGTACCTTCCTCTGTCTTTCTACCACAGTACGTGAGTACCCAGGTACCTACCTACCTTAAGGTACTCCAGGTCCGTAAAAAGGTAGGGTAAGGTAAGGTGAGGCAGGGACGGATACTCCGTAGGTGCCTTCTTTACGGATACCCAGGAATAAGGTACTTCGCACCTCGGTCTGCCTGCACCGACCTACCTAATTCGCAGGTCGCATAGCACAATCAACACTTGTGCAACACTCGTCCATCAGTCACACCGAACGAAGTTCGAAAAGGCAGCATCGTTAATGAAATCTCTTCTTGCAATACGACTATATAATTGCCTTCTATATTCATCATCAATAATACCCGTTCTAAGAGAAGCAAAAAAAAGGACTCCGATGCAGGCACCGCTACCTTATTGCTGCAATTCCCCGTCGCACACGATCAGGTACCAAAAGGAGACTTGCCTTGCCAGCTCCTCCAGACTCCAAGGTACTTCTGTCAAAAGTCCCACTACCTCCTGCTCCAGCCACTTATGCGCCTGCAGTAGCTCCGTCTCAAATGTGCGTTACGTAAATGGGTACCGAGGCCCTATGTCCCCCCGCTTGGTCTGGCCGCGTCTCCTCCACGTACTCTCGCAAATCCGATGCAATTTCAACACTCCCAGCCAAGCCACCGTGGCCACCCCCCCATGCAGCAAATCGTTCTTCTCAACGCCTCGTACCGCACCTCTTCGCATGAAGTTGCAATTCCACCAAAGCCACACTCGCAGCAGATCATTGAGGCGCTACCTTGAACTGACCTCATCTTCAATTTCAGCCCTGCACTTCCGAACCCTCTCCTGCTCTCTTGGGTCGTAGAATATTGACCGACGACATCATCATCATCGTGGGTGTTGTCAACTTCATTCAGAAGAACATGAGATGATTTCCGCAATCCCATCTCAGTCCGTCTCAGTCTCCGTCCCTACGGACACAAACCACGAAGACTTACTACGGATACCCTCTAGCTGAGTCTAGCTTCTTGTTGCTCTGCATCGTCATCTTCCAGGCCAAACCCTCCTCAATCTATCCCACTCTATACCATCCCCGGCCCTGGTCTCTCCTGTGCTACCTTGTCCTGTTTGCTCTACTGTACTCTCTACTCCCGGTGAATCCCCTCCTATCATGTCCCCCTCTCCTCCCCCCCTTTGTGTTCGTTGACTTTGCAGCTCCCCGTTGGCCCCTTGTCCCACTCACGCGCCCTTGCTCCAAGTAGAGTTCTCGAGGCCCGGTGAACTAGCCCGGCGTCCTATTCGAGTCGAAGCTTCACATTGCCAATATATCCAGTTACCTCGGCCAGTGCATACGGCTGTTGTCTGCTCGGTGTCACCAGCCAACATTACTGAATTTCATCACGCATCAAGCCCAGCATAGCATATGCAAAGAACTGGACACCTGTCAAGATGTGACTAGGACATTCACTGCCTGCAAGCCGGTACCGCTCTTCGCAACATAGGGCTCCGGAGCACATGTGAAAGCACTAATAGGAGTTAATGCGCCGCGAGCAGGACAGGTCCCAATAAGAAGACCGCCCGGGGAGATTATCCGTCAATCGATGCCCGTCAATCCCCGTGGGATCTGCTCCAACGTCATCTCAGCGATCGTCTTTCGTCTCTGTCCGTAAGACCGCCGCCAGCCACGACTACTGCTCCGGACGGATAGTCGACGACGACTAACAACCAGTATCCGTACGGCTGGCTTATTCCGCCGTCCCGTCACTGCAAACCAGCACTTCGTCCATCCCGCCCTCTGTCTTGTCCGCCTAGCATGACCCATGCTCGCATCCACACTCGACCAGCATCTCCTTTTTCAGCCTCCATCTCGTACCCAATAATGGGGGTTTCCAACACTCATCTCCAATCGTCCGTGCTTCTTCATGCGTCGCCCCAGGGTCGAGGGAACTATTGAATTCCCAAGCTCTTCTTTGGGGAATCGAGCATGTACGCAATGCTTCGTCAATCTCATTCGCAATCTCTGGCCACGCAGCTTGCTCCGTCTTTTGCCCAGGAATCATCAAAATATCCATGGCTCTTAACGTCCCCACGGTGGTATTGATATAGCACAGCCGGCATCCCATGCCTGCACCATGTCGCGTCGCCTCGCTTCGTTAATCGCCCACCGTTGCAACCGTCCTTTTTACCTTTTCGTTTCCCCGCATATCCGGAGCTTCTACACACTTCCCTCACGAGGTTAGTGCAGACCTTTTGAGGTCATTATTGCCAGCCGAGCCGGGTGCTTCCCCCGCCCATATCGGAGGCCTGGCGACACCATCACCATGTCCGCCATTTTTATCTTCAGGTAATTCCTCCCTCTTGAAATCGACATGACGACTATCTGCACCTGTTGTATTCGGAGTGACTTCCTTTTCCGCAGAAAAAAAAAAAGGCCCGATCACCAAAAAAGGTGTTACACGACTTTCTGTATCCCCCTTTCTCCTATCCGTACCTATGATGAGCCATCAGAACTTCAAACGCAGGTGGACTTTGCGAGGCATTACCACGTCACTGTTGCGCCGTGGCCCCAGCGTTTTGTGCCTGAAGATCCTTCCCGTCTTTGCGTGCCCAAATGCCAATAACCTTGTCTTCTGGCCGCTCTGTATGGTGTATCTCTAAGAGACTCAATCTACGAATACCTGGACCGTCTATACTGGAGTCAGCTAAGTATGACATCAAGTCCGAGGCGATCTCTGATTGCGCATCACAGGAGTCACGGGAATATCTCTGCTACTTCCGGCTTTTCCGAGCGTGCATGTCCGTGAGACTGGGGGAGCTTTTAATCTCCTTGTTATGTTGTCTGCCCTCCGAATCAAGTAATGCTCTACAACCTCGCTATTCCGATAAACAGAAAGTTGTAAATGCAGGCAGCTGGAAGGTATTTAAGGCCTAGCTTCTATATTCATGGGATAGTGATAGCCCACCAGTGGGTGTAGTATTCGCCACTGATTGGAGTGTGGCATTTGGTGTCTGCATCTTGTCGCCTCGCCGAGCACGGTCACACTCTACCTTCCAACTCACAACGAAGGTATCGGGGTGTAACTAGTATTTGTAAATAGCGGTCATTCTCCGGGGGATATTCTTCATAGTATATTCATTTGCTGATGGACTTTGCTTATGATTGGAATGTCTTTTGGGATTTTTGCTTTGAGATTTTACTAAGTAGAACGACTTATAATATAAAGGCTACTTATATTGTTAAGCACAATGTTGGAGGTGCTTGTTACCCTAGGTACTTGTCAAAGCATAGAGAATGAGCTAATGTTACTTGTCATTGATAGAGCCTTAGGATATTAACAGATAAGTCGGTACTTATAGTATCGTAACGAAAAACAAACAGCGGTCTTTAACTTTAGTACTAGCAACGAGGCAACAGATTGATTTGTATAAAAATGCTGGCTAGTTTGCGCACCGAAAGGCTATGGAGATTATATTATCGCTTCCTTTTTAGAACGGATGAGGGATATGGTTTTCCTTTATAAACTTCATTCCGTGGTAACTTTAGAATAAATGTTATTAATGCCGTCTAGATCGTCGAGGGCTCACTCAGATCACCGCTTCCCAGGTCTAATCATCACCTGGCAGGTATTCCTCATAGTATACTTCTTCCTGTATGGGCTCTGTAAGATGGAACCCCCGTTGCAATGAGTCGGCTCTCGCGTCCGTCGAAGCTCGATCAGAATAGCACTCAAGCTATACTTATGGTAACCGTTATGCTACAATGTCAAGTTTGTGTTGTGGTGAATCTCCTCGCCGCAACGGACCGTGTGTAGAACAGAGTCTGCTTCCGAGCCGTCGACGGTTAAATAAGGGGCAAAGCGTTGAAGTTACAGATGGGTTTCATTTGCCGATAGTAACCTACCTTGACTTTGCAGCCGTCGAAGGTAGCGTACTTGAGGAACGCAGTGAAGATGAACTAGAAGACCCAGTTCACGTTGGCTTCGTGTGTGCGGAAATTCCCAAGATGATTTTCAGTCTCGTGCGAACATCACTACTACGGCTCGTCGAAATCGAGACAAGTAAAAGCGACACGAAGGGGGTGCGGAGATTTACTACGCAGCTGCAGAAGTGAAGAAGTGGCCTTCAATCTAGCCCAATTTGCCTTTGTTCAAGTATTACGCCCAATTATCATAATCCGGTAGACCCTCGTCAAAGTATACCTCCTCGACGCGGTTGAAGCCCACCTCAGGAGCGTCGTGCGGCCACGGCTCTCCATTACCGCTGGCGAAGAGGGCGAACATGGAGCCCTCAAAGTTGGGATACCCGGGGTTCGAGCCCATCTGCTTGGAGTTGAATGACTTCAACCACGTGGGCGAGGTCGCGTTGCTGCGCGAGTAGCCGAGGGAGTACTCCAGTGGTGAGGCACGAATATGAAGCGTTAAATCTGCGGGGATCGTTGGCTCGTTAAGAGGGTATTCGGTTGACTAGAGGTAAGGTAAGAAGATCGGTACGTAGCTATTAACTTGAGAATGCGAGAGAACCTACATTAGGTCGAGTTGTCGGACCGGTGGAAGTCGGCAAGAGGTCAACATATAAACACAGTCCTGTCGTATTCCAGCATCCTCTTACGCCAATATCTTGATGATTGACTTCACTCAGATACGAAGCAATTCCAACCGACTGCCTCGGTCCCATTTCAGCTGACGTCGACGACAGCCTAGCTGAGAAAGTCATGTTCAACGACGTCTGCTTGCGAAGTACAGCAGCCGCGGTATCCCGGTCTCCGAGCGTGAAGACGTTGGGATTGAACACGATCCCCGAGTCGTTGGCAACCACTCTCTTCCCAAGCCCACGCGCCGGCGCCGCACCCCTGAGCCGGAAGTTCTCCGTGTAAGGCGTCCGCTGCTGGTACCAACCGATTCCCAACTTTGTGCCCGTGAACTCGTCAACCCATTTCGCCTTGGGATACTCCTGATCAGGCCCGTCGACACTCTCACTCAGCAATAGAGGCTTTCCGCCATTCATCGTCGGCCACCCATCCTCCCATTCTACCTTCACCAGAAACGCCTCGCGACCGAGCGGCGACGCACCCTTCACGTTCCGCCTTGCTAACAGGGAGGCGTACCACTCTCCGTCCGGCGTGTCAGTAAACGTCGCATGACCAGTCGACTGCACCGTGAGCTTCTGGTCGGCGCCGTTGTAGATGAGCGGGTTCGTCGGGGAAGATTCCCATGGCCCCTGAGGTGACTTTGAGCGGCCTATCGTCGCGCGGTGGCCTGTACTCGTGCCGCCTTCCGCTAGGAGGAGGTAATACCACTCCCCGCGCTTGAACATTTTGGGACCTTCCGGTCTGGAGCTGGGTAGCTGCGGAAGCGTACCGTTCCAGATATTGCCGTAGGGACCGACGCACTTCCCCGTGCCGAGGTCGATTTCGCACTGCGTTATGCCCCATAGACGGTCGTAGTTATTATTAGGCCCCATGAGGTTGAGATAAGACTTCCCCGTGGCCGGGTCGTGAAATAGATCCGGGTCGATGCCATAGGGCTCCGCCCAGGTTAGGGGGGACCAGGTGATCAGGTCCGGGGAGGAGATGTACCATATCCGCGGCCAGGGGCGGGAGTCCGGGTCGGAGCCCCATCGCGTCATGGAGGTGATGTAGAAGAGGCCATTGTAGTGGGAGAAGGAAGGGGCCCAGACGCCCTCGCCGGCGGAGACGCCGTAGAGGGCGAGAACGGAGGGGTCTTGGAGGGCGTGGGAGACGAGGTTCCAGTTTGCGAGGTCGGTGGACTTGTAGATTGGGATGCCCGGGTAATAGGTGAAGGAGGAGACGGCCATGTAGTAGGTGTCTTGTACGCGGAGGATGGCTGGGTCGGGGTTCCATCTGGGGATGTATTAGTGAGTTTGTCTTGAGGTTATGGAAGAGGATTGGGGGCTTGACCCTGGAAGAATTGGGTTCTTGATGGCTGATACGACAGCTGCTAGGAGCAGCGTCGCTCTTGCGAGGAGCTTCATCGCGTCAAGTCAGAGATGTAGCTTTTCTACTTCCAACTTGCAGCCGACCTCACAAAGACTTACACGTCTGTAAACGGAGCTCGGCCTCTCTTATACAAGCGACAGACGAGGAGTGCGAATTCTCAGCTCTAATAAGTCAGAACACCCCTGTATACAAGTGTCCTAGCTTCCACCCGGCCTTCGGGCCTGTCCGGGCGAACCCCCGATGCGCGCGGTGATGGGTCCGCGACGCGGGGTATATCATCGCGGGGGAAAATTGGCCGGGTAAAGACAGATTTGCAGGCGCTTTCCGATCCGTGAGCAGATCCCACCTTGAATGGAGCTGCGGATGCCCTGCCAATCACGTCATGGGCATCAAAGTGATAGGCGGAAATGTGTTATACCGTTGCTCTGTACTGCATTCTCTATCTCAATGTCCTTGGCATCGCTTTTGCTTTACGATGCTCGCTGGGCTAAGCCTTATCGTTTTGTATATGGCCCGGTCGGTTTTTCCATAACATCAACATCGATCTCAGCTCAGAACAAGATATGATGGATACTTTGAAAAACTGATTGATTCGTCGGCCTGCCAGCCACCTGGATCTTGAACCTTCAAACAGTGCATTTCTCCGTCTTTCAGACCAGTGAAACTTAAAGTCAATGCCAACCCATCTCACCTGTAAGCGTAGAGCGCTTACAACACGATTCGATGTCTTTTTTGGCTTCCATTATCATTCGCATAGCCTTGCGGCCTAGGTTCTAGTGTAGTGTGACCTCTATCATACTTTCCATCATGCGCAGACGGTCGCCTATGTCCAGGCCTACGTAGAGTCCAACACGACGGTATGTCCCATCTTGCGCCCTTCCAAGAATCAAACCTTGTGAGTTTTTGCCTAGAAGCTGGTCGTGATGATCTAGCGGAATGTCGTCTTCTATCACATAGCCAAGTATATGGAAACAAATGAACTCCGAAGGCAAGTCTTTCAACGAGTGCAACTCTGCTCCAGAGTCGAAGCGCATTTGGATATGCCAAGGCGTAACAACTTCGTTCATACGGCTAAAAGCCTTGCCTCGTAAGGTGATGCATCCTGATACGACGCCTCCATATGGTGCGACGTCGATGACAGGCTCCACTGAGACAGCGACCAATTCCGGCAATGGCGAGAGACCTATGCCGTTCGCCCGCGATGTAATTGCTAGCTTCGTATAGTTAACGAAGTCTTCGCTATCTAACAGCGAGGGCATTTTCTTTTCCTGTTCAGATTGTGTATGTGTCCATGAGTCAAGGTGGGTTAAGTCAGGCAAGTGCCAGACGACGGCTCCTGGAAAGCTCGCCCAGGACCAAGACGGCGCTATGTAGGAGGAAGACAGCTGCGGAGTGAGGGGCTTCTTTGGCATCCATAAGAGTTGTAGTGGGAGGAGAGGCGTATTCCATAAGCCCGCAGCGTATGGAGATGTGTCGATATCTCCCAGCGGGTTGACCAAGTTTCCAAGTGTTTGGGCAACTCCTGAGATGGCCAACAGCCGGTCTCCAGGAACGGAAAGTGTCCGCTGCGAGAACTCTTCCACAACCTTGGACCATAGCTGGAAGATTGCTTCGAGAGGTGGATAAAGAATAGCATGAAGATCTGAGATTAGATGCTCGGGGTTTCTTGGGTTACAGCCATAGCTTATGTTGTGGGCGATCCTATCCCTGTATCCCACCCAGTGGCGGGTCTTGAACATGTTATCCCGGAGTGATGCAGCACCTGAGCTTGGACCGAACCTAGTGGTCATACAAGCCCAGGATATCCGGCGAGTGCCAAATGAGACCAACCGAGTGGCCAACAGAGACTCTTGCAATGTCCAAGCCCGGGTATCGATATGGTCAATCTCGTCTCGCGCCTCACCACGGAAGAGCTTGAAGCGTCTCTTGGACGAGTTATCAGGGCGAGGGTCACCAGAAAAAGGGAAGTAGAATCCTACATAACCATCCGGTCCTGTCGTGTTAGGCGGGTTGAGGAAACCTTCAGCACAACTTTTCGCTACTGCCGCAGAAATTGTGATGATAGAGTTGGCGTAGTAATGAGCCATATCACCGACCTCTCTGGCTAAAAGGGCAGGATCGTTTTGAACAATGCAGAGGCTGTCAACCCAGAGGAGTTTTACACCCAATTGTCGGGTGACATGGATCGCGTCCTGTATAGTTTTTGGCAGGTTTCTGACTTCTATTCCTCTCTGATGTCGAGCCAAGTTGACTGTAGTGGTCTTGATGGTCTGGTCCAGGCCCCAGCAATAGGAGAGAGCAACGTATGGATCAACTCTTGTGCTATGGGCTTGTCTGATACGGACAGTTTTCTCGTCCCCGGGGGATAGTTCGATGAACCGCAGAGGCCGAGTACCTGTTCCTTGTCGACAAGACGGGTGTGATTCAAGGCATACCTGGAGTCGACGACGAATTTGAGCGATGCCGCTCTCTGAAAAGGTACCGCCATCTATGGTTTGCCCCACGGCATCATCCGCGCAGGGGTCATCTGTACAGCCTCAGCAAGACAAATCGATAATGAGCGCTACCACCAATAGAATAGAAACTCAACATACACGCGTCAGACTCAATGTCAAAAGTCCCCCCTGTTGGACTCCAAGAGTAGTCGCTCGTCGACAGAAAGATCGAGCATTTAGTGGCGTCGGAGATGACTCCATTGACAGATTCAATCACCAAGCAAATTGTCACGTAACAGGGATAGTAACCGCAGACCGCGAAGTGCCCGTCACGTGCTGTATCACGTGTATATCACTTACATCTTGCATATAGGCCTTTTTCTTTTGTCTATTTCCACTTTGATAGGTTAAGCCACTTTACCACAC